GCCAGGCCTTCCTGTCCTTCACTGCCTCCCTGAGTTTGCTCAGTTTCATGCTCATTGCTTGAATTGTACAGGATTGTACAGATTACTATATCTGGAATGTTGGCATCCTACTTTCCTAATCATCTCTTAAAAGCAGAGTATCTGGGAAATACATACAGTCTCTTATAAAAAAAATACAGTTTGGTGTTAGAGAAGGGCCACCATGTTTTAAAAAATGAAATTAATTTTAATTTTCAGAACTATCACTAGAACAGCCTTCCAGTGTGATGCCTGCAGATGTGTTGGATTCCCAACTTCCATAATTCCCAACCAGTATGGCTATGCTACCTGGAGATATGTGAGTTGAAGTCCAGCACATATGCAGAAAACCAGCATAGGGAAGCTTGTTTTACAAAATGTATTCCCAAAGAAGTGGAGGATAGCTCCATTTCTAAGTCAACTTCAGCACTGAACTGGTTAAAAACTTCAATAAATGTACAGTCACATTCTGTTTTGGCATGGCAATGGGCCAGGTGACTTATAGGTCACTCCCATATCCAATATCTGTGCTTCCAGGATGATTTTAACAGAATGGCTGTGAAAAAATGTTATTGAAGTTGTTATCTCTTTGACATACTATTAACCCATCACTGTACCTTGGAAGTAGTGCTGTGATCCAAACAGGGTAGATAAATGATTGAAAGATAAAATCTTGTCAAGGCAGAATAATTACTGGACTGGACTTCGGAGGTGAAGGGGGAAATGACATCAGTGTGTATTGCATGAGTAGTAAATGCGAATATTGACTTTCATGGTCTTCAGTCTTTTGCTCTGCTTACATGATCTCGCCAGTGATTTTCTTCTCTTACCTTCTTCCTGTTCATAGAGCAATGAGGACATCTTGTGGCCAAAGGGTCTAAGAGCTTTGATTTTTAGGAATTCTTGTTTTGCAAGGGAGATTATTTTTCTACCCACTTTCAACTATTACCATTTTTCTCTGCTTTCATGCTGTCAAACTGTTTGGCTGTCTGTTGAGGCATTGAGCTATGTTTGCATAGTTATACTGTGGATTCTTAAAATATATTCCTCATTATTCTGGTATATATAATGCTGAAGAGAAACTTGTGTTACAGTCTGCTGATTTATTTTATCTTGCTTGATACTGAATATACACTACATTAGAGCTGCCAGAACTAGACTGCCAAAATCTGTATGACCACTATGTAAGAGCCACCCCCAATGTGATGGATATATGTTGTATGTTGTAATACAGTTATTACCCATTCAGTTTCACTAGTTTGATTTTTTGTGATGGATATGGCCCTTGTGCTTTGGTTAAATTCCTAATATAGAATTATATTCCTCTGACTGATGAGGTACCCTTAGAGATATCCTAGGAAAAAAAGGTAATAGAGATATCTGAGAAATTATTCCTACAATGTACATTTACATCAGGGTTGCATTCAGATCCAGTGCTAAATAATGGCTTACCATGAGATGAATAGGGGGGACGTGGTGGCGCAGTGGCTTAATGACGCTGAAAGTTGCCGGCCAGAAATGGTCGACGCTTCA